ACGCACGCCGCTCCCTCCGCCAGCGTTAATACCCACAGAAATCAGGGAAAACCAACAATACAACTTCCAGTTTGGTCGAAACCTACTAATTCATCCTCACACCAAGCAAGTTCACAAGTATCCCAGATTATTCCACCTACACGTATGGAACGTATCACGAATTGCTTGTCAAAAAGAGGATACTCCGCCAGAGCAGCGAAAGCAGTTACACTAGCTTTACGCCAGATCTACTCGTGAACTCTGTATGACTAACAAAGTGGCATAGCTTTGAGAAATATGCATCGAGGAAAGGTTTCACTGCAGTGAAAGCAACACATCCTCAAGTGTATGGAATATCTTTGTCATCTCAGACAAATGAAGAAATTAAAAGGTTCGACATTATCTACATACCTAGGCTGCTCTCAGCTCAGTTATCACTATGAAGACAGGTATGAAACTGACTAAAAAGTGCCAGAGTTACTGGCCTTAACACTCTTTTAAACTGGAAGACCAACTAAAGGAAATTTAAAGCTACCGCTTGGGATCTCAACGCGGGTATTATGGACATCTCACCAGTGATGTGTAATACGAACCACTAGAAAGAACTTTCTTTCGAATTTCTACACAGAAAACGCTTATTTCTGATCGCCTTTGGCAACAGTGGCGGATGTCAGAAATACATGCGCTTGGACTTGAACGGATACGGGTTTGCCACACGCCACAACATACTCAGTAGTTCATCTTGGATTGAGATGGGATTTCATAGCTAAGAATCAACTGCCAGGTCAACCGGACAGACAATTCCACATCCCAGCATTATCTACAATCCTTGGTCCCAGGATATACAAGATTTATCCTTATGTCCAGTCAGAGCTTGAAAATATATCTACAAAGTCTAAAACCAGGAGACTTAAAATTCAAACGCCTTTTTCATCCCCTATATCGCCGGAGACACCCACAGAGATCTCACGCGTTACACGTATATCAGTTTGGATGAGAGCAATCATACCACGAGCCTACAAGGCAGCAGGACTTGATCCTCCTCAAGCCTCCAATCCGCACGAAAGTTAGGAGAGCACTGGCATCTACACTCACCTACATGGAAAACTGCTCAATATCCACGCATCATGGAAGGGTGTTTTTGGAAATCGGAGGACAGTATTTGCTAACCACTACCTCAGAGACATTGGCTACCGAGGATACTCCAGTATCCACCAGTTTGGACCCTGGTTGTAGCTCGACAGCTGACGATCCCTCGCCGGAGGTGTATCTGGCTCTTTTATCACATGTCATGTAAAAGCTTGTACTCAAGCGAATAGAGCTTATAGTCCATGTACACGCTCTAGAACAGACTAGCATGAATACTGTACTTGTAAGGTATTACTTGTACAACGGATTGGGTCACTACTCACTCTGATACTTAACATCAAGAGTTGGAGTTATTTAAATCCCATGTACGGTTACAGAAGAGTTTGATATATTGTGGTCCCCCAAATTAGCAAATTATTTCGCATGGCGGATGGATCAACAGCAGCAGTGCCAATTAAAGTTCCCATGGGGCTATATAGGACGTTAATTCATCACTAAATGAATCCAGTGGTGGCTTGACCCACCACCCATAAGCGGCCTGATTCTCAACAAGCAATAAGCATGAGTCAGGATAAGGGAAAATATGTAATTTTTCTGAATATAATTGATATTTTATACCTTATCCTGACTATTGAGGTAAGCCCTCCCAACCTCCCCTCAAGGCACTCTGGATTTCCCAGTAAATCAGTGTGTCGGGCTATAAATACGGAGAGAGTGAAGAGCATGGGAGACGGGTGGCGCCCTTTCCTGCCAAAACTAGCAAGGGACGTAACTCCTGGTAAGTGATTTTACGTCCGCTTTTTTTAAGGGAGCTTCAAAAGGGGATTCAAGTGTTCCACTAGCATTTGGAAGGAAAGAGAGACAAGCAATAAGCATGAGTCAGGATAAGTATAAAATATCAATTTTATTCAGAAAATTACATTTTTATTTGATGTGGTTTCCGTGAAAACGTGACTTGACTGTGACTATGAGGATGCCATCTTGTTGCATTTCCATGGCAACAAGTTAGGCTTCAAATGAATTTGGTGATAGTGCTCCTTTCTGGAGCAGATCTTAAAAACCTTTATATACTCCTTCAACTTTGCTATATACACTCGAAAACATTTGACATAATCATAACTAGTAGACATATTCATAAAGAGTATTTTGCCGTTGCGGGGGATATTGATGACTTTGTCTTCTTGTTTGATATTGGAAGATGAGATGAATATTGTCAATAATGTCAAGCTGCATATCATTCCTTTGTCTTGTACAGAATGTGACGTTTGTCTCTGACCCCTGCACGCTACAAATCAACAACACCGTGTTTGGGATTACATCTACAGATAGTCTGTTCCACCTGGGTCAGGAGGAGATATCTTTGTGAGTAGAACAGTTTGAGTGGAGTTGGTTGGGACATGCTGCGCAAAGTCAACTTAAGCCTGAGAGGTCAAGCCTATCTTTGTGAGTGGAGAACAGTTTGAGAGTGGGTTGGTTGGACATGCTGCAAAGTCTGTTTGTCTGAGAGGTCAAGATATCTTTGTGAGTAGAACAGTTTGAGTGGGTTGGTTGGACATGCACTGCACCCAAAGTCAGCTTCTTGTCTGAGAGGATCACAGATATCTTTGTGAGTAGAACAGGAGTGGGTTGGGTTGGACATGCTGCAGTCAGCTTGTCCTGAAAGGTCAAGATATCTTTGTGAGTAGAACAGTTTGAGTGGGTGGGTTGGACATGCTGCAAGTCAAGCTTGTCTGAGAGGAATCAAGATATCTTTGTGGAGTAGAGACAGTTTGAGTGGGTGGGTTGTCGAGAGGTCAAGACATTCCTTGTGAGAGTAGAACTGTTTGAGTGGGGTTGGTTGGACATGCTGCAAGTCTGCTTTGTCTGAGAGGTCAAGATATCTTTGTGAGTAGAACAGTTTGAGTGGGTTGGTTGGACATGCTGCAAGTCTGCTTGTCTGAAAGGTCAAGATACCTCTTTGTGAGTAGAACAGTTTGAGTGGGTTGGTTGGACATGCTGCAAGTCAGCTTGTCTGAAAGGTCAAGATATCTTTGTGAGTAGAACAGCTTAGTGGGTTGGTTGGACATGCCAAGCCGCCTCTTGTGGAGAGGAATCAAGATATCTTTGTGAGTAGAACAGTTTGAGTGGGTTGGTTGGACATGCCGCAAGTCTGCTTGTCTGGAGAGGTCAAGATATCTTGTGAGTAGAACAGTTTGAGGGGTGGGTTGGACATGCTGCAAGTCAGCTTTGCTGCAGGTCAAGATATCTTTGTGTAGGAACAGTTTGAGTGGGTGGGTTGGACATGCTGCAAGTCTGCTTGTCCTGAAAGGTCAGTGATCTTGAAAGACTAAAAAAATTCTAACCTTGGGTCTCCGGGATAGAATCAGTTTGTGGCAACTATGGCTACAACAAATCCACCATGAGGCAAATGTTATGTTTTTCTTCATTCATGTCTGTGGTACAAATACTGGACGTAGTAACTGAATGAGGAGATATGGCTTGGTGTTTTAAACATACTTTTATTCATGAACTATAAACATAACATGAATATGGATTGACACCACAAGCCAACGGCTGATGTAACGGTGCAGCCCATCAAATATAACACAATACAATCAATAATTAATTTATAACAAAGTACAGAAGCAATTATTTCCACAATGGCATGAAATGCATAATAATAGGAAAAGTCTACAAAATTATATTAAATGGTTCATAGTAATTGCATACATTAGAGTTTAGAATAATTGGAATCTGTTTCATAAGTACATACTACTTTTCAAACAGAGTCAAGAATAAACTGATTAATTCAATTGCTTGAAATTTGATTACCTTGAAGAATTGAATTTAAGTCAAAATCATTAGTGTAGAAATATTTATCTGATCTTATTAAGTCATAACAAGGGCAAGAAAAGAAATAATGGAGAGAATCCTCCCATGGATACCCACATGCACAATTTGGATTACTTGAAATATGTCTATCAAAACAATGAGCGTTCAAGTCCCTACAACCCAACCTGAAGCGAGCATGGATTATTTGACAAAATCTAGATCTAAAGTTGTTATCAAAGAGAGTATTTCCTTGTTTGGTCTGTAATCATGTTTTGAACTAATTTACTGATTGGAGTTAATTATTTAGGTTGATAAATTGTTCCATAAACGTATGGTGTCTGGTAAAAGGAGCGTGCATACGAGTCTGTATGGCAATGAATTGTACAAATACTATCAGTATTTCTCAGATTGTAAGAACTTAAAACTGAAACATGTTCTGGAATTAAATCAGATAAGTAGTGTGGAGTAAAGTTATTATGCATTTTGTAGAATAAAGTTTTTTCATTTTCTATGCTTAACTAATGGTATGAAATTGTGGTCTCTTTGTAGATTTTTCATGACTAGTTCCTCTCATGACTCCACAAATCGTTCTTAGAGCCGCCTAATTGTAAATTTTCTAGAATCATAGACTGTTCTTTAGTACAGTTGTCCCTATGTAGCAACAATAATCAAAATGTGGAAGTATATAATAGGTATACATACATTCTAATGTATGTCTAGTTTATCTATATTTAAAGCTTTTTATACAGTTTACCATAGGATTTACAACCTTTACTTTTTCTTCAATTTGTTGTTTCCAATAACAATAATCCGGCTTGGTGACTTTGTTGATTGTATGTCATCATGACCTGATGGTGTGGATGGTTGCTGACAATATCAATCACTGGATTGTCTGGTCCTGACTTGATCTTTTACATGCCCCTGTGATATTGCTGGAATTGTGCAAACTCCCGGAGTAATAGAGGAACAAATCACACACAACAGAACACATGTCACTAAAAGCTGTGAGACAGACAGGTTTCATCCTGGTCATGTAACACAGGCAACATCTGAATTCTGCAATGAATCATAGGTGTAACACTGATGAGTGGTGTAACTTTCACGGACATACTGGTGTTATTCTGTTTCAGCCCCGGGTTCTGCTGACAGACTGGGAAGCGTTTGGCCCAACACATGCTCTGCCAACACAGGTATGACACTGATAAACAGTGCTTCTGCAATATAGTAATATATCTTGAATTTGAAATACAACCACAAATTGCATAATTGAAATGTATATAAAATAGTTTCATATTTTATCCTTCTAAGGAGCACTTGAACAATTATATTTTCTATGAGCCATCACCACTTCTGGGATATATAGTTATTGCTCCTTTTCTTAAGGCCCCAAAAATATGTTGTGGTTCGATTACACCTCTTTAACATTTAGGGTAGGTAGGTAGGATATTTTTTAGCATTTTTTTAGACGTAAAAGTACAAATGAATAAGACATATCAATGTATAATTGTTTATTCAATCAAGGTTTCACCATCATATGGACTTTCTCTATCAGAATGACCCGATGTCCGTCGGTCTGCGGGAAAAACAATGGTATCTAAAAGCTTATTTCATTCATACCGCCAAAAGAATTAATTAGGGTCGCACCAGAACTCAAGGGTCGGTCAGGTAATCGGAACCACAATATATTTTTTGGGGGTCTAATTTGATAACATAATGTTAATTAGAATACTTGTATAGAGTTAGCTTTCCCAAAATAACAATGTTCCATTCAGTTCTGTCAAGAATATTGTTCTGTCATTGTTGTGTTGTGCCAAAATACCAATATAGCTAATAGTCTGGTGGAATCTCCAAGAACGCCAGTGTTCTGTTGGGCCCTGCAAGAATACCATTGTTCTGTTGGGCCTCTGCAAGAAATACCAATGTTATGTTGGACTCTCCAAGAATACCCAGTGTTCTGCTGGACTCTCCAAGAATACCATTGTTCTGTTGGGTTCTCCAAGAATACCATTGTTCTGTTGATCTAGATAAGTAATGTTGCACAGGGCTCTTCCAGAATGACAATACTGCATTGTGTGCTGCTTGATACTGATGATGCAAATGGCTGTTGCAGCTACTACCCACTGTATCCACCGCACGAAGACGTCAACGTTGACTACGACCACTTTGAAGTGTACGGACGTATGCCAGTGACACCACATGTTCTCGTCGTACCCTCAGATCTGAGATACTTTGTCAAGGTAACAAAATCATCAACATACATCTGGTTTTAACTTAACCAAAGATTTCTGAATGGAGTGGATGTTCTCTGTAATGGTATTTGAATGTTTAGGTCTGTAGTGATGTGATAACCCAGTGTCTCATTGCTGATGCTGGGGTGGTCGGTAGCCTAGTGGTTAAAGTGTTCTCTCGTCATGCTGAAGACCCAGGTTCGATGCCCCACATGGGTACAATGTGTGAAGCCCATATCTGGTGTCCCCCGCCGTGATATTGCTGGAATATTGCTAAAAGCGGCGTAAAACTAAACTCATTTGCTGATGCTATTGCTCAGGCTGATTTAACAATAGGCCAACCAATAATAAAATAACTCACCCACTCACTCAAGGAATGCGGATCTTTAAGGCATATTAGTCCACCATGATTTTGTTCTTGGACCTGTTTCTGATCTTACCACTATGATGATCCTATTTGGCCCCTTTAGTGCTAAGATTTCCGAATGATGTTGGTCCCTGAAAGTGTAATTTGAGACTTAACAACTAATCTATAACATGACTGTTGTAGGACATCAAGGGGTGTTGCGTGGTCAACCCTGGACGAGTAGCCAAGGGTCAAGTTAGGGGCACATACTGCAGACTTGTGATCCCTCGACTGCCACAGACAACAAACAGCCCGTGTCTACCATTGCTGCTCAAGTCCTCCGAGTGTAACTCACCTGAGCTGAACTGTTCTCTCAGTGATGACATTGTGGATATAATCAACCATTGCTGCACATCTTCAAGTGGAACCACCCCAGACCTTAAATGTTCATACTCAGTGGGACATGGTTCAAGAATAGACAGGAGATACCATTAAAGCAGACCTCATTTTAGAATTGAAATGATAATTGCTCCTGGCTTCTGGCTGTGTGGTTACTTTTCTCAGTATCAGACACATGTCGATTTAAAAGTAAATGGTGTGATACATTTAACCCATTGTCATATTAATCTTTAACATAATTTTTCAAACAAAAATGGCTTCATTATCATCATAATTTATTCACAAAGCTCACCAACTCATGTTATATGTAAATTGGCACGCTCCTCGCCGGCTGAAAACTATAAATACACAATGCCCTTTACAAAGTGAGAAAGTGTAGTCCTAAATATGGCGTGTTACATTTGATCACTTTCTAAATGGCATTGTGTATTCAACTTTCGGTTGTGGTAGGAGTACACAGAGCCTGTGGTCTAGACTACCAGTTGTCCTGACTTCCATTTTTGTGGCGATGGCTGAGTGGGTTAGATGTTGACTTTGTTTGCTTTTTGTGTGCGATTAGGTGCCTGACTCTGAGGGTGTGGTTTCAAATCTCTGATGGGACTCAACCCAACAAATGTACTAGAGTACTGAGAAAGTGTAATCCCAAATATAACATTTGTTTCTGGTTGTCATTTTGGCGCAGAGATATCAATGCCCAGGATATTGTTAAGTGGATTTTACAAGATGCATACTGTTGCATGTATATCAACATAGATCTATGTTTTCTATTGGTTTTAGAATACAGTGATTGTTTTGCCATGTGGAACTTGGAATTGTAGTGTAGTTGAGCACATTTTGTTGTACTAGTGCTATGTAATATTTGTATATACATCGTACAGTAATCTGATCTTTCAAGGTTAGAGCTACAAATACATTTCTTCTACTGAGATGTAAGAAAAAAGTACCAAATAAATATTTTTATGTATGTATGTCATGGTTTTCTTTATGTCAAAGGATGTTTGATTAACTATACTGACAGGATGAGGTGGAACATTTCTGTTGCGATGTTCTGTTTAGCAGTATGCTGTTTTAAACAATATTCTATCACCATTGTCACAATGGAAATGGACTTCAGATACACGACCTCAAATTCATAACACAAAAGTTCGGTATATCCCAACCTGTTGGAGACACTGCATGGAATTAAACAGGTCATGTTTAGGAATGCCAGCTGTCATTGAAGTCTTGACGGATGAAAGCTGCAAACGCTGAACTAAATTAATTTAAAATCAAAACTTTATGGATCTCAGCTTCTTAATTTTGAGGGACGGAGTGTATTCTTACTCCTTCATCAGGTAAATGAAAGACTTTGAAACAAATGGCTATATATGTACATGTGAAACAACAGTGATTAGATAACAATGTAGGTAATAAGCACTAAATTGGTAATAATAATAATAATAATAAGTGTTCTTGTATAGAGCACAAATCAAACTGCAAGGCAATTTCTCTAGGCGCTAAAAGATAGAGTGATCTGAAGAAAGGATTAAAGTTCATAAGCTTGTTTAAAAAGGAAAGTTTTCAGTTGGGACTGGAAAGATTCCACGGACGCGGCTTGTCGGATGTGAAGAGGCAGTGAGTTCCAGAAAAGGGGAGCTGTGTAAGAGAACTGTCTATGTCCATATGACTTTAATCTGACCTTGGGGACATTCAACTGACAATTAGAACTTGATCTTAAAAGCCGTGGTGGGACATATTCACTGAGGAGATCTTTCAGATAGATTGGAGCTTTGTCATGGAGGCACTTGAAAGCGAGAGTGAGGATTTTATATTCTATTCTCTGTTTCGTGGGCAGCCAATGTAAGCGTATCAGCAATGGTGTAATGTGACTGCGCTTGTTGACTCGGCAAATCAATCGCGCCGCAGAGTTCTGAATCCTCTGGAGCTTGGACAATAGATCTTGGCGGATATTTACAAGAAGACTGCAGCAATAATCCAAACGTGAGAGAACAAGTAAGGTGGGTGGACGGCGTGTCCCTCAAAATAAATAAGTTGACATTCATAAATTTTCACCTTGAGTTCATCATTTAGTGCCGATTATTTACAGACAGCCGCCATATATCTGAAATATTGCTGAGTGGACGTAAAACTAAACTCGCTCAGTCTAAACGCCGTTCAAAGACTCCTTGTTTAATGAGTGTGTTTTAGTTGGTTTGGAAAAATACTACATAGGACCTTTTGTACATAGAATGATAATTTCTCTAGTGGGAACATGGACATACACCAAACGACTGATTGAGTACACCATATTCTCTTGTAATGTATATATAATGCTGACAAATTTATGGACAGCAACTTCTGTAATTTTGCAGAGAGTGTGAAATAAAAAAGATGTTATCCATGAATTTGTGAGTGTTGTACTTTCCAACTTCTAATACTAGTATGCCACTCAAAAGAGTTAACGTATTTATGCAGTAAGCTGTGCAGAGAGCAACAGCAGTTGTCGTCTGCTCGTCATGGTCTGATTTTCGTGAAGCAACGTCAGATGTGTCGTATCTCCCCATACGTGCAGTTTGCACATTCTGGCTAGTTTTTTTGACTGCAGTTCGACGTCCTTGGTCTCGGCTTAAACGAAGCGAAGCCTACATTGGCTCTTGCCCGCAGAAGGATTGTTTAGGAAAGTGTTCTCGTATGTCTGTTGGTGGCTTCGCCATGAAAATTGAGGCTATCAAATTCAACAGTTGCTCAGGCAGGGTAATTTTCTCTCACGTCTGACTGCTTTTGAAAACGCACGTCACTGTTAACCTCGCTTTTTGAGTTTTCTCAAATCAGGTCAGAACTGTGATGTGTTGAACGTACGTGTGCCTCGAGTAAAGACGTACTCTAAATTTAGTCGTTGTGTCGAACCTTCGATAACTCGGAGTATTTACGAAGGTGCCTTCAATGTCGATACAACGGCGTTTGGCTTGATATCGGAATTTACAAATGTTTCATCACTGAATGTTACATTAGTATTGTTCTGTACACAAACTTTGTCATCACAAACCCACGCCTGTCTCTTCTATGTACGTCAGCTTAATCCCCGCCATGACACTTCAAATGATTCAGAACGCGTGAAGATCCGGGTTAGAATTTGTCTTCAGCCAACCTATGCCTGTCGCAACTAACGGGATCGGGTGGTCAGTCTCGCTGACTTGGATGACACTTGTCATCGTATCCCATTTGCGTTAATCGATGCTCATGCTGTTGATCACTGGATTGCTGAGTGTAGCGTCAACAGCAAACCGACAACCAACAGCATTGGAAAGTTATAAACTTTTGATATAAACAATGGAACTGATATATTAATTTGCTATATAAGGCCAGGGGAGCAGAGGCATAATTTCTTTGCATGAACATTTTGGAAATATGTAGCTGATGTAAGACACCATTTTATTTTCTCAACTTTGATCCGTACTTTGCTGAGCAACTGCATGAATATTTATGGAGGGTGACAAGCACTGGTGTTCTACATTGTCAAGATGTAGTTGATAAAGGCCGGGTGTATCACTCGCTGATTTTAATATCTCTACATTTGGCCAAAGAGTTTGTTTGGAAATCAGCCAAACAGAAACGATTTAGTCGGTCAAATATTACATTGCCAGCCTAGATTTGTGGGTGACACATTTTAAAGAGGAGTTACTTCAATTAATGTTTAGATCGGTTGTTATCAAATAAACTATTGGTTGTTTAAAACTGACAAAGAACTATTGTCGATTATTGGAGATAGGCCTTTACCAAGTCGTTAACGTGACCGAGCATACCTTTTTCACCCTAATTATAATATTATATACGTAGATGAAAATATTTTGAATAGATTCGTCTAAGTTGATAAAAGCTTCATGTATGTTTTCAGAATGTGGTACAGCCTAGCGATTGGGCAAGTGCGTATTTAAAATCTCAGTCACAATCGCATATATGTTTACCCAGTTTACGAGGGGTCGCTAACCGACACACCTAGATTAGCTTGCTACGATCATTGCATGTTTGGCCTAGATATTGCATGTTGAAACACGTTCTCAATTTCCTAGCCTGAGCGCTTGCAGTGGTTCCCAATAAAAGCGGCAAAATGAGTGACCTTCACACAGTATAGTGATCTTCGCCCTTTGCCTGGTGAACCTCTTGATGTTATCCATCGTTTGTACAATGTGACAGGTCACAAGGGAACCGTATTTTCGAAGTGAGCATATGGATTTTGCATTGGCTTCGACGATAATTCACCTGCATAGTTAGCATAATGTCCTTGGTCCTTTGTGCGTTATTAAATCGTTAAGCGTTCTTCATCAGCTTACCTACCCGTTACAATGTAACACCCGTGAAGATCCTGGTTCGAGTTGGTCATCAGCAATCCATGCTCGTCGTAAACGGGATCCAGTGGTCAGGCTGGCTGACTTCGTTGACACATGTCATCGTATCCCAGTTATGATGCTGATCACTGGATTGTCTGGTCCAGACTCGATGATTTGCAGACCGCCGTTGGAATATCGCTGAGTGTGGCAATAAACAGCAAACTAACAAACATGAAATGTAAAAGGAAGGTCCTGTTTTCTGTGTTATTTTGAATTTAGATCTTTCTTCACTTTTACTATTTTCCCCTGCAGGGATGGAAATAACCCATTGCCCGACGTCCGAGTCCAGTGTTTTTTCTGTCGGGCAAGCAAATTTGTGTATCACACTGTACCGGTGTCCAGTTGACTCTCCAATGTTAATTATGTTGTTTATTTAAAAATCAACAACAAAACGGCCGGTATAGTGGGAAAATTATCAGGGCAAGTGACTTTCAATGTGCCACTGTACCGGAGTACACTAGCAATTTTAAAGTTATTTCCACCCCTGGCCCTGGTTTTGCATTAATTAAAGTCGAGACAGGTGAATATATATACTTGGGGATTATGTCGATAATCCCCAACTTCTCTCTTTAAAATGCCTTTTACGATTGAAGATATTCAATGACAGCGACACCAGGTTGTTTGTTTGTATGTTTGTTGTTTAACGCCGCCCCCATCAACATCCTTATATGATGGCCGTCTGTAAATAATCAAGTCTTGATGAGAAAGTCCAGTAATTGACATAATGAGCATCGATCTTCGAAATTGGGATAGGATGACTGACATGCGTCCACCAGATCAGCGAACCTGACCACCCGATCCCGTTTGTCGCTGCTGATGACAGACATGGCCGCCTCCTACCAGCATGAACTGCTGTAGATCCATGTTAACGTGGAGACTGATGCATCAAGACATACTACAGACGTTTAGTATGGCGAAATCTTTATTATATGATCTGATTAAATTATCATACCTTGAATATAAATTCGCACGTTCACACGGCGAATAAGCATACCAGAACACATGCGATAACTGTTTACAAAACAAGGGTTAAAATATAGCTCCACATAATGGTGTGAGTAAAGTTTTACGCCGCTTTTAGCAATATTCCAGCCATATCACGACAGGGGAACACTAGAAATTGGCTTTACACATTTAACCCATATGGGGAATCGAACCCAGGCTTCGGTGTGACGTTCGGACGCAAAAACTACCACACCATCTGCTGAGTGGAAGTTTTAGCCGCCTTTCCAGATCGTTGGTTCATGAGTCCAGATCGAGGTAGTTTTGCCGCTCTCTCTCATAAATCCCCAGGTCTCTGTTGCCTTTTTAGTCTGAGGGGAAGTTTTCAACCAAAGTGAGTGAATGAGTCTATTTTTACGCCGCTTTTAGCCATATTCCAGCAATATCACGACGGGGACACCAGACATGGGCTTCACACATTGTACCCATGTTGGAAATCGAACTCGGGTCTTCGGCGTGACGAGCGAACGCTTTAACCACTGGTCTACCCCAGCCCCTTTTCCACCAGAGCACAGAATGCTGGTACAGCACTTATTACATGCAGAGTTTCAGAAATGAAGATTTTATCGCATGGGCCTTTGATGTCTGACCCGTGTAGGTCCGGGTTAGAATATTGATCTTCAGTAACCTATGCTTGTCGTAAGAGGCGACTAACGGGATCGGGGGGTCAGGCTCGCTGACATGTCATCGGTTCCCAATTGCGTAGATCGACGCTCTCATGCTGTTGTTCATTCGATTGTCTGGTCCAGACTCGATTATTAACAGACCGCCGCCATATAGCTGGAATATTGCTGAGTGCGGCGTAAAACTAAACTCACTCACTCACCCTTTGATATCTTGGTTGTTATGTCCATGTTTGGTTTGGGTATGATACAGGCACAGACCTCATGACGCATTCTCTGAGGGACAGGGACCACCATGACATCAGAAGAATTGGGACATGACATAATCTCAGCTTCCTTTTCACCCAGGATGTTGTAGATCAACAACAGTCCTGAAAGGGACACATTATTCCGTTACACAAAATTCTGTGATGACATTATGTGTATGACAATTAGTACGGGTGCAATGAATAATTCTATGAGGGATACGTAACACACAGATTAACAATTGTTAAATATTTCAATAATGATAACTTAGAGTATGTACGGTAACCATGCACAGAGCTATTAAATGTAGAATGCAAGACGTAATACGGTCACGATCGATAACAGGGTGAGCAAGAATTTAAAACAATAATACGTTTATAATACTGAAGTATGCGATGATGAGGGATTTATTGATATAAACAAATACGAAACAGAGCCCCTTTTTCTCGAAACGTTCTTAGCCCTAAGAACTCTTAACTTTGATCGTAGCCAACGTGTTGAGAATGAGCTGAAGCAGTTCGTAAGGCTACGAACGTTTCGAGAATAGCTAGCAGGATTCACCGTAAAGAAAATAACACCTCAGGGCCTGAGAACCGGACGTGCGAATATTTGAATGTAGTAAATCCATTTTTGAGAAGATATATTGTGACATTGAACGTGCCATGTAATTTTCATAGAAAGACGGGAACAACCATGTACTATATTGTGAACATATCAATTGTTTGATGATAACATGGAAATAACTCTGATTCTGTCCACACTTCAATCTCTGTATATATTCACTGACTATCTGACATAAGGACAAAATATCCGTTACTGCTTGAATACCATTACTAATACTCCCCGAATTGGTAACAATCGTTTTGCCCCTGCAGAAGGGCGGTCTATTCTGAGCATCGTTAACAGGAAGCTAGTAACAACAAATTATACCAATAGTAATGAAATGATCGAATACCTAAATCCGCTTAAGTGTGGATACAGATGTTCCAGTTAATTTTATCGACTCCTATTTTCATAATATTCATAGAATAATATTGATTACAGTTTGAATCTTTTGTGGAGTTGTCACATGCTACGTCCTTCAGGATGGGTGGAATCATATGCCCTTGCAGGTCACTGGTGGGATTTCGACAGAAATGTTAGGGGCTTCTTGACGTCATTTTGCAGCTATTTCTGATAATGCCCGCCTGTCTGGTTTCCCTGTGGGTCTAAGAGGGAAATTCTCCACCAGAACATAGTAGGCTGGTTTAGCAGACATTTCATGTAGAGAATCAGAAATAAACATTGGATCGCAGTAATCTTTGATCATCTTGGTGGTGACATCCATGTTTGGTTTGGGAATGATACAGGCACAGACCTCATGATACAAGTCCCTGTGAGGAACGGGGACCACCATGACTTCAGAAACATAAGGACATGTTCTCAACTTCTTCTCAACCCAGGATGGGTATATGATGTACTCTCCATGCATAATGGCATCTGATTGTCTTCCCTCGACAAAGAGACGCCCTTGCTCATCAAAATGTCCAATATCATTTGTTTTCAACCATCCGTCATCTGTAAAGGCAGCTTTTGTAGTTTCAGGATTGTTGACATATTCTTTGCACACAAGATGTCCACGTATCAATATTTGCCCATCGTTACCTGCTCCAACATCCTGGTAGTGTTCATCTACTACCTTAACCTCCACGTCAGTACACAATCCCACCAGATTGTCCTCGAAGTCTTCCTCCTTCTCACAAATGCTGTTTGATACATACCCAACTTCTGTGAGTCCGTATGCTGACACCACCGACTGACAGATCTTACCAACAAATTGAAAGTAGTGTTTGGCGAAAGGTTGCCCCGTAGCAATACACATCAATCTTTCTTGTACATCACATGTTGTTCCAAGATTCGGCAATGTTTCTGCAAGTTTCCTCATGAACGCTACAGTAAGTAAAGCGACTGTGCATTTGTGTTTTGTAGTATATCCCAAGTGTGGTGTAACTGATCACGAACAGAGCCTCTTGTGTCTGTTAATATCTGTGGTATTGCCATCTCAATATATCCATAAGGCCATCCTCCTCCCCAACCCAAAGGTCGGTCACTGAACAATACTTCATTTTGATTTCGCATTCGATGTATCCTTATAAAACGGCTAGCAAGCTGAATCATCACCTCATGCGTCTTTGGTACAAGTTTTGAAAAGCCAGTGCTGCCTGAAGTTGCCCAATACAAAGCTGTGTCTGTTGGTAGTACCTCCACTGGGACTTGATCTCCTTCCTGACGTAACATCTCCAGGTAATTACTTCCTCCCTTCACACCAACAAACTCCACAATTTCTAGGTTAGGAGCATTGCTTGATTTTACTTTGGAGTCCAGAATTTCTCCAAAATGAGGTTTGAGAAGATCCCAAGCACCCCCAGGTAATGTGTTGTCCCCAATCAACAGACGGCAGGAACCCAGGTTGATCACATGCAACAGATCCGTACCATCTGCCAACAGTGCCTGGGCATTGGCAGCAACACAACCAGCCGTCATGATGCCAAAATCGGTGATAAGACGTTCAGGAGAGTTGGTGAGTGTATTACAGACCACATCTCCACGTTTCAAGCCCCGACGCTGTAGAAGTGCAGCAAATTTAGTGGAGAGGATGTGTACATCTTTACAAGTGAGAGCACGCCTTCCTTCATCGTTGTAGAAGACAAACACCTCTTTGTCAGGGTAGATCTGCGCCCAGTGCTTCACTCTGGCTGGAATAGTTTGTTGAACTTCATCCACAGACATGTTCCTTGTCGTTGGGATGGTGTATCTGTTAAGATGAGAAACATTTTCATTAGATTTAATAAGATATCTATTATCCACGTGATCAAACAACCCATATCTTCAGAGTCTTTAACTTCACCCCATAGAAAATTATGAACGAGTGAATAGTGTTTCAGCATTTCTGTTGGCATGTATGCAGTCCGGGTCTTGCAAACAAGTGGCCGAAGGTATGACGAACTACCATACTTCACCACGTGGATCATGATTGCTACCTATTCATTTCTAAACGTTTGACCAATTGTATACCACCTGGAAGGTTCACTTGATACTGACGCCACCATACTAACTATAATAATTTTAGTGTAGTTTTCACTTTGTGTAATCATTAATATCTGTGTATGAGCATATTGTATTTAGAATGCTACGTAATGAGTGATTCTTTAAACAGAAGTTTCCTTCCATCATACTGTAGGGATTTTCCTCCCTATTGTTGAATGCAGATTTTGATGTATTGAACAAAGTTTGATTTGAAAGGGATCATGATTTTGTAATTTCCTGTAACTTGAGTTCAAAGATGAGGATTTAGCTTTTTGTAAATACAATTTACTAGGTGTTCGGTTAATGTCTAGAAACGAAGAAACTCAAATGTACACTTGATACTTCAAAAGTAATTATTGAGCAAATGATGCAATCGTGTGTTCATTTTCTGTGTTTATTCTTTTTTCTTCTTTTTTAAATACAATGTATTACATTTCAACGCAGGATATATATGTAAAAATAGTTTTAAAAATACATACCTGCCTACATACCTACATACAAATCGTTGGACTGTTTAATTTAACAGCACACTCCACGCTCGACCCCCTTCCACCCAAAACCACACGTGAACCTTCACCTTTGACCTCAACCTACTCAGCCCCATAGACGGTACATCTACATGTTTACAAAGACACGTCAAACACTGCTGATAAAGATTGTGTATGCTTTGTCAAAGCTGGTTTATATACACGACATCTGAGTAGCCATGAAATGGGTTAACACCGATAGACTACACCTGACATTTGAGAGCATGTTCACCACACAGTTTCAGCTTTGAAGATTTGAAGATTCATTCACAGACATATTTCAATCAAGCTAAACTTCAACTATTTCGATATCCGTTAAAATATTTCCCACCTTTTAAAAGAAATATCTAAAGGCGGAAGTCAATTGCGGTTTGCTGACTATGCAAAAAGGTACTTTGAATATGGCGTCCGGCTCGAAATGTGCGCTTCACGACGATACTTCACTGATCCCTGCACTCCTGAAGTCCTTCAGGACGAAGAAATGAACACAATAAACTTTCTCAATCTCACTTCCTTCAGTCGCATATATCCACACGGCGCCCAAGGGGCAAATATACAAGGACTGGACAGGTAAACTGGCACACTGCCAACATCCGCCAACACACAGGTGTTTACAGGTGTGTGACGTAATACATCAGGCTTTGGGCCTTATTGATAAACCTGCGTCTAAGTCTGCTTGTTGTCAAGGTTATCAGATACGTATACCTAGGAAGTAATGTACCAACCATGACAAATGAGTGAGTTTAGTTTTACGCCGCTTTTAGCAATATTCCAGCAATATCAGGGCGGGGGACACCAGAAATAGGCTTCACACATTGTGCCCATGTGGGGCAAATTGTAAATGCATAAAGTGAGCCATGGTTGATATAATCTTATGAATAATTATAACCAGCACTGTGTTTTTTGTTTTGTCAAACACATCGTATAGTAAATGCAACCTGGACAGTTTAGTCGCCACGTGCACCCGAAAACAGTTTTACTCTCTTTGAATAATTCAGAGTCAATAAAATATCAGTAATATATGGCTAACTTTACTTTATGGATGTGCACACTTAGTGCAGAATCTATTTTCGGAGGTTCCCGGTTATTGTGTGTTTGTTTATTACGTACACTACAAATCACAGGCAAATTGTAGCGCAAATAGGGTTGCGCAACAAAGACAAAATTACCAGTCTTCTGATATGCGAGCGAAGCGAGCAAAGGTTGGCAATGTGCTTCCTTCGCTTCGGTTCGAAAAATATTTTTAATATCAAAATAAAATATCCCCATCATCAAAGGTAGACACCCATTTCCTCACATAGTTGTGCTCTCAGATTTCCAACCTCATATTTAATAATTACTCACGTACAATATATTTAATTCAACATTTTAAGCGCCACTCGTGGCATGTCAAATCGTTCTTCGCCTCCATTACCCCTGCCAGCTTCCGGTTCAACGGAGTGAAGGAACAGGGGAGTTACATTTAAATATGCTTTCATTTACCCGTTACGCCAGAAATGTTTTTTGTAGAATAAATGTTACGAAAAAATTCTAACAATAACGACGGCAGATAAGAAAAATAATCCCCAACAGATTAACGGTAAAATTATGCAATATGATATTTGTGTTTAATTTCTGCTTATTCTTGTTCTTTCACTTCCGTTGAACCTGAGGCTGGCAGGGGTAATGAAGGCGAAGAACGATTTGACATGCCACAATTTGTGCTTAATATGTTGAATAAATATATTGTACTTGAGTAATTATTAAATATGAGGTTGGAAATCTGAGAGCACAACTCTATGAGGAAATGAGTGTCTACCTTTGATGATGGCGATATTTTATTTTGATATTAACAATATTTTTCGAACCGAATGAAGCGAGGGAAGCACGTTGCCAAACTTTGCTCGCTTCGCTCGCATATGGGAAGACTGGTCATTTTCTCTTTCTTGCGCAACCCTATTTGCGCTACAATTTGCCTTGGTCGGTTACTGTTTATGCTCAGGTGACATTTTAGGTGAGTTAATATGTACACACACGGTGCAAGTCTGATTACGATCCATGTCGCTTCACTGTTATGTCAACGCATGTAAAGCCTGCATGTAATCCATACCACAGTACAACTGATAAGCGGGCGGGAGACGAGGACAATAATCCCCTGGTATACCCAGACATATTTGGAAGGACTATATTGAAGATATTCCAATTTTTACTTATATAAATATTTACGATTAAGTGTAATTCAAGTTTATTTGTTCGATTGTTTTGTCTGTATCTTTGTTGTTTAACGCCGCACTCAGCAGTATTCCAGCTATATGGCTGCAGTCTGAAAATAATTGAGTCTAGACAATACAATCCAGTGATCAACAACATGAGCATCAATCTGCGCAATTGAGATTCGATGACTGTGTCAACCAAGTCAGTGCGCCTTTTGACCACCCGATCCCGTTAGTCGCCTCTTACGACAAGCATGGGTTGCTGAAGATCAGTTCTATAACTACAGAGAATCATGTGAAAAGGGAATTGGAACATGATAAAGATTAAAGAGTATATATGTGACTTTTATATATCCTTTTGGAGACGTGTCAATAATATTATTTCTGCACCTTTGACAGCAGCCCAGGTAATGAAGTAGACAGAACATTTTCAGCATGTGTTTATGCCAATCTACACGAGGAATATTGTATTACATTCATAATATTGAAATTCACATCCATATACATTTACTATTTTGACTAATGTTTGTATAATACGTGGACCTGAAATCATCATGTATACATAATGGTACTCAAAAGAAGCGCCGACATGGGTACAGTGTGAAGCCCATTTCTGATATTGATATTACTGGAACATTGCTGAAAGCGGAGTAAAACTAAACTCACTCACTCACTCACTCACTGAAAAGATGGGACTCTTTACGTCTTAATACACAAAGTGTTAATTTAATATTAGTACTTATTATAGATATATTGGTGTTCCGTTTTCAAACAGATAGTCTTTGTCTTAATGCATTGTAAGCCCTCAAGATGGTTGTCAATAAGGCTTTGTTTGTCATCACGAAAGAAAGCTTCAATTTCACGTTGGTAAATATACCAACATTTCTAAAACATAAACCGATATTAGGATAAAGCTCATTTGTATTGCTGAAGTTAAGGGTTGCAGAGCACATTAAACAGGCGACACACGTAATGTTATGTTTTGATAATTTGTTTTAATGAGTGAGAGTTAGCCTTTTACGCCGCACTCTCAGCAATATTCCAGCTACATGGCGGTTATAATTTGTTTAACGTTAAGTTAGTGAACATGTATCTGGTGCAGCAATAACGGTTAAATCTGGGTGTTTCATGTGGATTGCCATGTTAGTTTTCAAAAGGTTTTCTGGTACACATTAGAAATTTGATGCGTCAGTGACCAATATGATGTCAAATGCAATTTCCTATTTTTCTCAGATGAACAGGTGACACGCCTTTGCATATGTTTATGACGGGTGCCAATCAATCATACACATGTTCATAATTCTACAAGATTTCTCACTGATGTCGAAACGAGTTTGTTGTTGCTTTATCAAATATTGGTGTAAACGTATCAAATGATGACAGCTGTCGCCGACATTGTTATTCTTGAAAAGAAGCTGGTTGAATGTGATAGAATTCATACTTGGATAGTTCCTTTATGGATTTGGCGATGTTTTGCACAATTTAAATAAAAAATGATTTTATCTAGCATTGTGTAATCACTTATCATGTATGACTCATATATACTGAGAGAAATAAATTAAGGATCACACGAACATTCTAGCGTTCCTTTAATATTTTCCACTTTTCATCAGCAGCTTTGAATAGCGCTGTGGTGATGAAAACTTTTAAAATAAAGGAACGCTTGCATTTTTCCTGTGATCCTTCATTTGTTTCTCCTTGCAGTATATAGTTATGTCACTTGTTTCCTTCAGGTATATGGACAGCATTTGTTCAGTTGTAACAAAGTATCCTGATGATCATGCATGAGCCTTCAGACGTAAGGTACTATACACATGTTAAGATACTATTGCAGGATATGGCATAGGGAATACGTTACAGGTTTCAGTAAGTGAATTAACCATACATGTCATCTGGGCAGATGAGGACATCGTTCATTCACATTACGTGTCTCTTCTATTTAGTGGTATTACTGAGGACGATGTCCATTTTGTATTTATCTGCCATTTTAAGCATCCCCGCGTGAGTTGGTTGAAACGTTACGTCACATATCTCAGCCATAAAGGGACGAAAACAGTGGCGTGACCGGACGGTTGAAAAGAACCAGTCCAATTCTTCCAAAAGACAAGGTGAAGTAAGGGCTGAAGTGGTGGTACAAAGGAATTCTATTGCTGAACCAGTGCGCCCAACCACCAAGGTGCCGTTGTACAAAGCGATCTTGGCGCTAAAGGTGACTGTAACTCCCATACCTTAACATAGACTTAAATAGTCTTAGCGTTAAGGTTGTTTTGAACAACAGTAACCTGATGAGGTTTTCCATCGTCAAAGGGGCCCTGGTTGCCCAATTCGTTCGCCTCTTAGGATCAGCAATGATGCTCTGCTGACACATTCTACCCAGACGCCCAACAGACTGCATCATTAAGTCAAATGTTTATACTCCTGTCAGATGTTTTTACCAATCCATGTGTCTGAAGAGAAATTTACCGAGAAGTAGCCTCAATCACAGGGAAGAAGTTTTCTGTAGTCCTGGTTGATTGTTTGTCGATAATTTCGGATTGGGTAAAAGTTACCTCAATAAAGAATAGGCGCCTATGTGTTGTTCTAAACAATTTCACGAGATCTCATCATGGCCACAGACTACTTACCATGACAATCAAACAGATAAATCTTGAATCACAAACAGATGTGTTGAAGTATAGAAGCAGATGTATCCTAGGTAATTTACTAGATTTTAGATTATAAGATAATTAGATAATAATGTTCTGGTTAGTTATTACAAAGATATGTCTGATGCTACTCCCGAGGTTGACCTTTGTCAAAAGTTCAATTTGTTCAGGTTAAAAACATTCCCATGCCTTGATAGCAGAGAATCCAACATTGGTTCGTGGTATCAGCACGATTTGATAGACATTATTAAGCACAGGCTTATGATATGTTAGGAATCCGTCAAGACACGTCAGATAAATGGTATCATCATCATAGTAGTATATACAATGGGGTTCTGGATCACTTTCAACCAAAGCCTCTGCAAAGCCTTATTTGGTAAATAAGGCTTTGTCGGGCCCTTAGCTCTTGCTACCATTTCCCCTACTATGAAAAAGTTTGGGCCGATAGCGGTTCTGGATCACTTTCAACCAAAGCCTCTGCAAAGCCTTATTTCACAAGTAAGGCTTTGGTCGGACCCTTAGCTCTTGCTACCATTACCCCTACTACAAAAGTTGGGGGACCTCCTAGCCGCGCTACCGGGGGCATGGCTGGAGTAACGGGTATTGCCCCATCCAATACTGGGCTGCGTCTAACGTGCCGCTATGGCACTATGCCATGTTTACCTCGATGAAACAGTTTAATGTGAATCGCCTATGATCTCTTTGGTGTTTGTAATAAAGGCTTGCCGGGCTTTTTTCACCCCTTGTTCTATGTACTTTTTTTTCTCGTCCTCGCTGATAGTAGACTTACGAGACTTGGACCGAATATCTTGTTTCATTTTGTTATATTTTGTGAGTTCAGAGAGGATTGAACTAAACTCCTCCTCTGAGATCTTACTGTCAGTAAGTGCCGTGGAAATACGCTCACTTACTGTGTTAAGCTTTGCTTCAGCCAGAACCCTG